TTTTTTTTTTTTTTTGCGGTACGCGGACCTCTCACTGTCGTGGCCTCTCCTGTTGCGGAGCACAGGCTCCGGACGCGCAGGCTCAGCGGCCATGGCTCACGGGCCCAGCCGCTCCGCGGCATGTGGTATCTTCCCAGACCGGGGCACGACCCCGTGTCCCCTGCATCGGCAGGCGGACTGTCAACCACTGTGCCACCAGGGAAGCCCTAGTAGTAAGCATTTTTAATTAACAAGTAATTTATGAATACTCACGAACTCTCTTTGAAAAAATGTCTATCGATACAGAATTTTTTTAAAAAAACCTTTACTCCTTTTCCACTAAGATAACACAATCCTTCAAGACACATTTTTACACACTTATATACATATTTATGTATATATTTTGGGGGGATTTAATAATACAAATGGATAAAATTATACCTATCTATCAAAGGTAGAAAGTTTGGGGTTTTTGTTTTAATTTTTAATTCCTATCCCATCTTTAAAAATTAAGAATAATCCATATCTGTCTTTCATTACTTTTCATAGTTTTATTGTCACAAAGTTTATTACAAATCTCCTATGTACGGCTGGTTCTGGGTAAACTAACCAGTAAAGAGGCTTAGTTTGTCTTGGGCATGTTCTATTTATCTCCTGGCATCACCACCCCAAGTGTGGCCCGTGGACAAGTGAGGCTCTCCATGTCAAGGTCCTCTGAATCTTGCCTTCCAGACCCAATGTCCAATGGTCTGGAAAGCTGCCTACCCTATTGGACAATAAACATACAAAAAAGGTTCAACTTTACACATAATTAAATAAATCAAAACATCCATGGGATGATCATGACCAGTGTCACTGAGGGTGCAAAGAAATGAACTCTCTCATGCTTTCCTGGTGAGGACGTAAATGGTTCACATTTTCTGGAAATCAATTGGGATATACACATATATAAAAATCCTTGGGAATTCCCTGGCGGTCCAGTGGTTAGGACTCCACGCTTTCACTGCCGAGGGCCGAGGTTCGATCCCTGGTCGGGGAGCTAAGATCCCACAAGACAAGTAGCACAGCCAAGAAAATAAATTAAAAAAAAAAATTTTAATCCTGTAATTTTTTTCATACTCTTTAGTTCAACAATTTCAATTCTAGGAATTTGGCTAAGAGGATAATCAGAGGTAGGAAATGGATTTAGTTATAAGAAAGTTAAATGAATTAAAAGTTATACACTTCAGGGCTTCCCTGGTGATGCAGTGGTTAAGAATCCACCTGACAGGGCTTCCCTGGTGGCGCATTGGTTGAGAGTCCGCCTGCCGATGCAGGGGACACGGGTTCATGCCCCAGTCCGGGAAGATCCCACATGCCGCGGAGCGGCTGGGCCCGTGAGCCACAACTACTGAGCCTGCACTCTAGAGCCGGCGAGCCACAACTACTGAGCCCACGTGCCACAAATACGGAAACCTGTGCACCTAGAACCCATGCTCTGCAACAAGAGAAACCACCGCAATGAGAAGCCTGCACACCGCAACAAAGAGTAGCCCCCGCTTGCCGCAACTAGAGAAAACCCACATGCAGCAACAAAGACCCAATGCAGCCAAAAATAAATTCATTAAGTAATTAAATTAAAAAGGTATACATTTTAAACAAAAACCTATGTGCCTAGTAATAGGATATTTGTTAACGTTAATTGTAATATAGCTTTAAGATGGGATATTTTGCAGTCATTAAAAAAATCATCTTTTAGTAGAAGACAATAATCTGAGAAATTTTATATAATGCATTCTATGAGAAAAGGTAAGCTACAAAGTATTATGTATGGTATAAAACCTTAATGTTTTCTCAAAAGGAATTACATAACATGTGAATATGTAAAATAAAGATAATGATAATAGCTAAGATTTATTGAGACCTACTCTGTGCCAGGCACTGTTCTAAGTACTTTATATATAGCATCTCATTTAATTCCCACAGCAATTCTATGAGGTGGGTACTATTATTATTCCCATTTTGCAGATTAGGAAACCAAGACATAGGAAAGTTAAGTAATTTTCCCAAAGTCACAGAGCTACTAAGTGGCAAAGCCAGGATTTCAACTCAGACAGTCTGACTCCAAACACATACAAAAATATATATATAGGGCTTCCCTGGTGGCGCAGTGGTTGAGAGTCCGCCTGCCGATGCGGGGGACACGGGTTCGTGCCCCGGTCCGGGAGGATCCCACATGCCGCAGAGCGGCTGTGCCCGTGAGCCATGGCCGCTGGGCCTGCGCGTCCGGAGCCTGTTGCTCCGCGGCGGTGGGAGGCCCGCGTACCGCAAAATATATATATATATATATATATATATATATGTATATATATTTATACATATACACATGTACTTATTACATAATACATAAATACAGCATAGATGTACGCATAATTGGCATGCCTATGTCATACTCCCAAACATTAAGCATTTTTCTCTGTGCTCTCTTCATACTCCTCATTTCTTTATTGAACATATATTAATTTTAGAAATTAAATTTTAAAACTTAAAAACTTATCTTTTCCATATCCTAATAGCATAGTATTTTGCTCTGTGCCAGGAAATACTCATGTGCAATAAGGACTAATTTGATTCCCACTTGAATGGATCTTCTCCAGCTTTTCCCTGGCCACACAAATGCCCTCTGACTCTCCCTCCA